AATCGGCATTGTATCAAATACTTGTTCTCCCCACTGTATATCCCCCCTCAAGCCGATACCACGACGGCCCTCAAAGAACTTCACTGGACTTTATGCAAACTGGAAACCACATATCCTGAGGCTGCATTTAATGTAGCCAGGGATTTTAACAAAGCAAATTTGAGGACTAGGCTGCCGAAGTTCTGTTGTACTCGCGCTGCTAAAATCCTCGACCATTGCTATTCGAACTTCCGGGATGGTTATAAGGCCCTCCCCGCCCTCCTTTCGGCAAATCTGACCACGACTCCATTTTGCGCCTCCCTTCCTATAGGCAGAAACTCAAACAGGAAGTACCCGTGCAAAGGACTATTAAACGCTGGTCTGACCAATCGGAATCAACGCTTCAAGATTGTTTTGGTCACCCGGACTGGGATATGTTCCATGTAGCTTGCGAAAATAATTTAGACATATTCACTGAAAAGGTGACTGAGTTTATCAGGAAGTGTATAGGTGATGTTGTGCCCACTGTGACTATTAAAACATACCCTAACCAGAAACCGTGGCTAGATGGTAGCATTAGCAAAAAAAACTGAAAGCGCGAACCACCGCATTTAACCATGGCAAGTTGACTGGGAATATGGCAGAATGCAAACATCAGTATAGAGACAAAGTGGAGTCGCAATTCAATGGCTCAGACACGAGACGTATCTGGCAGGGTCTACAGACAATCACGGACTACAAAAGGAAAACCAGCCACATCGCCGACACCGACGTCTCGCTTCCAGAAAAGCTAAACACCTTCTTTGCCCGTTGTGAGGATAACACAGTGCCACCAAAGAGGCCCACTACCAAGGACTGTGGCTTCTCCTTCTCAGTGGCCGACGTGAGTAAAACATTTAAGCATGTTAACCCCCGCAAGGCTGCCGGCCCAGACGGCATCCCTAGCCGCATCCTCAGAGCTTGCGCAGACCAGCTGGCTGGTGTGTTTACGGACATATTCAATCTCTCACTTTCCCAGTCTGCTGTTCCCACATGCTTCAAGATGGCCACCATTTGTTCCTGTACCCAAGAAAGCAATGGTAACTGAACTAAATGACTATCGCCCCGTAGCACTCACCTTTGTCATCATGAAGTGCTTTTAGAGACTAGTCAAGGAATATCACCTCTACCTTACCTGTCACCCTAGACCCACTTCAATTTGCTTACCGCCCCAATAGATCCACAGACGATGCAATCGCCATCACACTGCATACTGCCTTATCCCATCTGGACAAGAGGAATACCTATGTAAGAATGCTGTTCATTGACTATAGCTCAGCATTCAAAACCATAGTACCCTCCAAGCTCATCATTAAACTTGAGGCCCTGGGTCTGAACCACGCCATGTGCAACTGGGTCCTGGACTTCCTAATGGGCCGCCCCCAGGTGGTGAAGGTAGGAAACAACATCTCCACTTCTTTGATCCTCAACACTGGGGCCCCACAAGGGTGCGTGCTCAGCCCCTTCCTGTACTCCCTGTTCACCCATGACTGCGTGGCCAAGCACGCCTCCAACTCAATCATCAAGTTTGCAGAGGACACAACAGTAGTAGGCTTGATTACCAACAATGACAAGACCGCTTACATGGAGGAGGTGAGGGCTCTGGGAGTGTGGTGTCAGGAAAATAGCCTCTCATTCAACGTCAACAAAACAAATGAGATGATCGTGGACTTCAGGAAACAGCAGAGGGTGCACCCCCCTATCCACATCGACGGGACCGCAGTGGAGAAGGTGGCAAGATTCAAGTTCCTTGGCGTACACATCACTGACAAACTGAAATGGACCACCCACACGGACAGTGTGGTGAAGAAGGCGCAAAAGAGCCTCTTCAACCTCAGGAGGCTGAAGAAATTTGGCTTGGATCCTAAAACCTTCACAAACGTTTCCAGTTGCACAATTGAGCGCATCCTGTCGGGCTGTATCACCACCTGGTACGGCAACTGCAGCACCCGCAACCGCAGGGCTCTCCAGAGGGTGGTGCTGTCTGCCGAACGCATTACCGGAGGCAAACTACCTGCCCTCCAGGACACCTACAGCACCCGATGTCACAGGAAGGCCAAAAAGATCATCAAGGACATCAACCACCCGAGCCACTGCCTGTTCACCCCGCTATCATCCAGAAGACGAGGTCAGTACAGGTGCATCAAAGCTGGGACCGAGAGAATGAAAAACAGCTTCAATCTCAAGGCCATCAGACTGTTAAATAGCCATCACTAGTACATTAGAGGCTGCTGCTACCTATTGAAATCACTGGCCACTTTAAGAAATGGAACACTAGTCACTTTAATAATGTTCACATATCTTGCATTACTCATCTCATGTGTATATACTATATTCTACTGTATCTTAGTCCAGCCGCTCTGTCATTGCTTGTCCATATGTATTCTTAAATTCCATTCCTTACTAGATTTGTGTGTATTGGGTATATGTTGTGGATTTGTTAGATATTACTTGTTAGATATTACTGCACTGTCGGAGCTAGAAGCACAAGTATTTTGCTACACCCGCAATAACATATGCTAAACACGTGTATGTGACAAATTAAATTTGATTTGAATAAATGCTTTAGGTTAAAATAATTACTCGGACGATTTTTGAAACACACTTTGTCGTCTCTGTGTGTTCCACGCCTATACCGTGGGTCTCCCATCCTCCTCAATTTTCAAGTCACCAGCCTCCACTGTGTGCTATGTACTTACAAACCAACTTATCAACTTTCACACAGCCAATGTCTGCAAGAAAACACATCATTATACAAATAAAAAACTCAGCCGCCACAGGCTTCAACCTCATTGTGTAAAGGTGTATCCTGAGGAAAAGCCGGCTCATGGCTACAAAGCTTCCTTATGCAGGCAACGTCTCTTCTGTCTGAGGTCACCTCAGATTGTCTGGTTCATCATAAACATACTCTGCTCATTGGCGTAGCCAAAAGGCACAGTGCCCTGGGATGTTATTGCATTGGTGGAACAAGTCTCAGAGGCAACTTGTAGGAGTGGGCGAGCATGTAACAACCTGTCGCTTCCCGTTGGTCCTTAAATCTTTACCAACATTCTTTCCACACTGCCTCCTCTGCTCTGATGTCAGATAATATGGTACATATGTGGGATAGCATAAAGGCAACTACCCCCATAACCAAATGTATTGATGCATGGGGAAGTCGCACACCTACACACAAATACTTGGTTAAAAAGAAGCTTTATTACCTGTCTTTTTCCAAAGTGATGTAATCACTTCACAGACAGGCTTACACCTACGATGTTAGTGTCACATTGAAAAAAGTTAACTTTCAATGAAGAAATGGCATCCGTATGGAAATAGCTTCAACATCTACTGATGGCTTAAAGGGTGCAATCTGTGATAGCTACTGTACATCAATCTTTTGACTTTTACATTTAATGATATACAAATTGATTATTGAAGAATATAACATATGCCTCATGAGCTTAGATCAATTGTCCTACTGTTGTAGAAATATTTGACTAATAGATAATCAACTCAAAAATATCTCTCAAGACACCGGAGCTTGTGAATCCAAGAATTAGACTTTATTGCATAACAAAGCCGAGCTTGCTCCATGGAACAACTGTCTCTCTCTGGCTTAGAGATCTCTTATATACACACAAATGAAAAAACATGCGTACATTCCTAACTTATTTTAGTTCTGCCCCACCCTTCTTTTTCAACGTCCAGCTGTCACACAATGTCCACTCCAAAATGTCATGAATGCTTTTTTCTATATGAAGCCTCTCATTCTATCATTCTATTGGCTGCGTGGCTTAGGCCCCTTCTTAAAAAACTAATATAATGCACACTGTTGAGAGCCTCTGTGAAAGAACACATGCATTCATTCAAAACACAGCATATACTACATGTCTATATTCCTTATTTAAGCATGTATCTGGATTATAAAATATCAAACATGTTTATTGTATGTTACCTTTGGCATCTCCCTACATGTGCCATAATGATACATAAAATAATCCTATACTACCTATTGTCCTGCTTTTTGGTAACACATTACTTGACACCCAGTGTCATGACACAGTCATAACATGTCAAGCAGGTAGCTTAGTGGTAAAGAGCGTAGTGCCAGTAACCGAAAGGTCGCTGGTTCTAATCCCCGAGCCGACAAGGTGAAAAATCTGTCTGTGCCCTTGAGCAAGGCACTTAACCCTAATTGCTCCTGTAAGTCGCTCTGGATAAGAGCGTCTGCTAAATGACTAAAATGTTATAATATGTCATAACAGCTGACATAACTTATCACAACCTGTCATAATATGGTAATAACTGTCATGACCCATATGTTTATACCTGTTGTGAAATACAGTATATTCCGTTATTTTATTCAAATTAGCTTTTTATTTACAGTCATGTTGTTTTCATCATATTGTAAATAACTTGTAGAAAATATACTTTATGACACTGTCATAAAGCATTATGACCATCATAATCATATATGCCAGATAGGCCTATCATGTACATGCCCTTATATCAGTCAAAAAGAGGGTGCCCTGTCCAGCTCCTGAAATCTGCTCCTGCATTCATCCCAGTCATCATTAACAGAGCATTGGGGTAGGTGCATATGTGACATCAATGTGTGCACAATTACAATGATAATTTTAATATGGTCAATTAAAAATATATACAAAGCGTAAACATACTGTTGAAATGTAGGCTATGGTGTAATGGAATGTTTTGCCTTGTGTAGTAGGTTTTGTGGGTTTTGACACTCTTATGTAGGTGTCTTAACCTGCCATAAAGTAACACAATATATGTCACAACAAGTCTAAATATGTGTCATGCCCATATTATAAACGGTTATGACAAGTTATGTCAGCTGTTATGACATATTATGAAATGTTAACGTGTTATGACACTGGGGGTCAAGTAAAATGTTACCGCTTCTTTTATGACATTGTTTGTAAACAATATAATTTCATAAACAAGCACTGTATAGCCTCAAAACATGGTTAAATGTATCATTTTGAGCACCAGGAAAGGATGGAATGGAGAGGGGAGGAATGATCGCTGAGATCAGAAATGAATCTTATGGTGTCTGAGATATTAATTGTCATCCAGAAATAAGTGTTGCCCGGCACCAGTTCAGGGGAGCTGCAGTGGTCGGGTAATGTGAGGTAGAGAGGGGAAGGCAGGGCGCTGACATGGCCACGCGAGGCCTGCATGGACATGGTGTTCACCATCACGATGGACCGCTCGTTCATCTTCACAGACACACTTTCCACTGTCCCTAGCAGAACTGGACACACACACACACACTTTAGATCAGCGTTGTGAAGCTACTGTACATCAATGAATCAAATTATTGAGTCATGTTTCCTTTCATCCTGTGCTTCAAACTGGAGGCCTTACCTCTGGTGTGACACAGATCTTCCGTCTTCAAATCCTCCAGTGGTAGAAGCCTAGGTCCTGAGGATAATGAAAAACAGTCTAATCAAATGGGCTAAGACAGAGACAGACTCCAAGCAGGGACCCATCAAAAGACACCCCCTTTATTTTATATGAACTACATATAGAATCTTCATATCACTCGTCTGGCCTGTAGGTTGGTCTTTCGGAGACCCTCCAGAGATAAACAGACGCAACTCAAACTGTGACATAAATCATGGATCGATGAAAAATGGGAATCGTGTTTGGTTTATATCCTGTTCCCACTGACCTGGAATCATGTTCTTGCTGGTGGTGTGTGGTTCAGGCCTTGGGTGCAGGACCCCCGCGCAGCAAGACCACAGGGAGGAGTTGGGGTAGCGGTGCCCACAGCAGGTGAACCCTGGCTGGGTAGGGTAGAGCAGGTCTAGCCCTGGGGCAGAGCAGCAGGTCTGGGTGGAGCCGGCCTCCATCAGGACACTCCCACAGCAATGGCTCTCCTCTGAGACCTGCAGGTTGTACAGAGTCCCTGCACAGCACTTCACCTTGCCACCGCTGGGATCATAAGCCTTCCCTCCACAGCAGGACATGTTCCCCCTCCTGCTGTGTCTGTGCAGTGAAAAATATTTGACCTCCCATTACCAAAATATCCCATATCATCTCTCAGATTTTGGTGCCTATTGTGCTGTCATGTTGGGTGAACTCAGAGCCAAATGTAATGATGATTGTTTATAATTGATTGGATTTTATCCATTCTATTTCAATGAAAGCACTCAAGGAAATGGAATCTGGAGAGTTCTAGCTATAAGAATTATGAGTTTTAGCCCATTGATTCCTTGAATCAACAGATTGAGCAATGAAGAGAGATGATCAGTGACGTGTATTCATGGATGCCAAGGGAAGCCAGGCTTCCCCAAAAAATTTATAAAGAAAAAAACATATAGTCACTCTGTGTTTTCATATTTGTCCTTCAATTCGCAAGAGGATGAATGTATTTAACCAGAAACAGTGTCAAGTGAAGCCAGTTTGGATTTGGCTTCACTCCTATCACATTGCATCAAGAGAAATACGTAATTGACAGAAACAACTTGAATTGTTGCAACTTGTTGTGTTGTTGTTATCCGGTGGCTAGCTACGTAGCGACAATTGTCACTTTCCTAAATTTGGACTTGTGGTTTTACTTAATTCTCCGTACTGGCCAATCATTATAACCGCGATTCTGATTCAACCATAAATTCATACATTGTGCACCTTGACTGAGAGGATAGAAGTTCAATATGTAGCTAGATGGCTAATGTTAACTAGCAAACGTTGCCCATGAAATGAAGTTAGGCTAGCAAGCATGCATTTTAGCCAGGTAGCCTACGACAACAAAAAATAGTGTACTCTATGACAGTCATATACCATGAAAGAGAGGAAGATGGCAATGGTGTTTCTCTACAAGTAGGGTGAGTCAACATATTTTTTTCTACTTGTGCGCATGCACACACACACATCAGAACCATGGACAGCCACATCATATTTAGCTTATGTTGATTGGACTCAATTGTTTTTGTTATATTTTATATGTCACTGTATTAGACTAAGCATAGGTGATATGATGATGCTGAAATGGTGCTGGAAGAATGGAAACGGCTCCCGTTTTCTTTGCGACTTGCGGTAACTCTCTGTGGTTCTAAATCAATAACTGTTTAGTAGTCGGAAAATGTCAGAAACATTAACTTGCTTGACCATGAAAGTACCACATTCATCTGTACAAACAATAGTACGCAAGTATAAACACCATGGGACCACGCAGCCGTCATACCGCTCAGGAAGGAGACACTTTCTGTCTCCTAGAGATGAATGTACTTTGGTGCAAAAAGTACAAATCAATCCCAGAACAACAGCAAAGGACCTTGTGAAGATGCTGGAGGAAACACGTACAAAAGTATCTATATCCACAGTAAAACGAGTCCTGTATCGACATAACCTGAAAGGCCGCTCAGCAAGGAAGAAGCCACTGCTCCAAAACCACCATAAGAAAGCCAGACTACAGTTTGCAACTGCACATGGGGACAAAGATCGTACTTTTTGGAGAAATGTCCTCTGGTCTGATGAAACAAAAATAGAACTGTTTGACCATAATGACCATCGATATGTTTGGAGGTAGTAGCATCATGCTGTGGGGGTGCTTTGCTGCAGGAGGAACTGGTGCACTTCACAAAATAGAAGGCATCATGAGGAAGGAAAATTATGTGGATATATTGAAGCAACATCTCAAGACATCAGTCAGGAAGTTAAAGCTTGGTCGCAAATGGGTCTTCCAAATGGACAATGACCCCAAGCATACTTCCAAAGTTGTGGCAAAATGGCTTAAGGACAACAAAGTCAAGGTATTGGAGTGGCCATCACAAAGCCCTGACCTCAATCCTATAGCACATTTGTGGGCAGAACTGAAAAAGCGTGTGTGAGCAAGGAGGCCTACAAACCTGACTCAGTTACACCAGCTCTGTCATGAGGAATGGGACAAAATTCACCCAACTTATTGTGGGAAGCTTGTAGAAGGCTACCCGAAACGTTTGACGCTAGTTAAACAATTTAAAGGCAATGCTACCAAATACTAATTGAGTGTATGTAAACTTCTGACCCACTGGGAATGTGATGAAATAAATAAATGCTGAAATAAATCACTCTCTCTACTATTATTCTGACATTTCACATTCTTAAAATAAAGTGGTGATCCTAACTGACCTAAGACAGGGAATTTTTACTAGGATTAAATTACAGGAATTGTGAAAAACTGAGTTTAAATGTATTTGGTTAAGGTGTATGTAAATTTCCGACTTCAACTGTAAATCACGGTCACAAGGCATGTGAACTAACAGGTTATAGAGCAAACAACGAAATTATCACAACACATAGGATGTATATGTCATTTTTTTCTAGTATTGGCTTCCCCAGTGATTTTTAACCACATGCCGCAACTGGACATTAAGAGAAACCATCAGCAAAATCAATTTTTTTATATCCAATTTTTTTATAAGGGCAGTGTATTCAAACATTTACTTTAGGTCAGTGTCTTGAAGCCGCTGTACATCATTCAGTGAATCCCAAAACAGCCCCTTGCCCCTACCAACCTTCTTGGAGGGCTCTCCATTGTCCCATCAGCTTCAGAACATACTCATTACTTGAATGATGCAATTCCTGTTCCACATTTGAAATAATAAAACAATCATGAAAATTTGTTTTACAATATATAAACCTAAGTAACAGTTAAATATTTATTTTTGGATGTATTTATTTTGTTATGCGTCATACCTCAAAATCAGAGACAAACAAAATACACGTGGCTCATAATTAGAAACGCCTTTTCATTCGTTTGAATGAAATTGTGCAAACTCCAAAACAGTCTAAGTGGTTATCGGAGGGTCTAATTATCCCCTACACCCTCAATAATGTTCACTCCCTCAGCTTTGAGACACTTGTGCATATGGAGGAGACGCGTGTGAATGCACAAAGTGGTCGGCGAGGGGAAGGGAGTGATTTGGGATTCAGTCACAGGGTCAAAACAAAAATAGATTCAAGTGCGTCACTCACAACAGCACTGTTTTCACGGATGTCACACTTGTTTCATGGCCAAAGTATTGAGTAATGGCATCGGTGTAAATTCAGACTGCCATGCAACTTCCTGGGAACAGCACTAGGGGTTACAACCCACAGTTTGAAGAATGGAGAATTGTTTGTTAATGATGTGTTCAACCACATGTTTCCACATGGTCTCTAGAATTTAGATCAGCATGTGAATCCGCTGCCAAAACACATAAGTAGATTCAAGTGCTTTTTTCTTTCCCGTCTGTGGCAGGTATGCCCTCAGATATGGTACATTTTTCTGTATTCCCATAAACAGATTTCAGTCAATAATGAACAACATTTACTTTGAAAATACTTTAGTAACATTCATAAAATCCCAAACAAGAATCAATCTGATTCCTCCTTAACTTCCTCCTAAACACTGAGGTCAAGCACAAGTCACACAAGACTATACAGCAGGAGAACTTTAGACCGTCAGCTGCAGTGGAAGACACCCTTTTCAAAGACGTCTGGAAGGCTAACGTACAGTAGTCTGTTTGTCTCTCTAGAGACATGGTGCATTCCATTGAGCCCTGGCCTCCCACAGAATTGTCTCACATCTGAGGTAGTGGGAATGTTGGGATATTTTCTATCCCACTTGCATCCACGTCTCTCAGACAGACACATACAGTACAAAGATGCTGACCCAGGCCAAGACAGTGGGGAAATAATTTCTCAGTTTGTTATAGTGCAAACACGCATGCATGAGTGCACACACCTGCACGCACACACATACATTTCAAGACATTGCATCAACATGTAGACAGGGAGGCTGGATACAGCAGAGTGGGAGGCTGGATACAGTCTGCTAATCGTTAGCCCTTAGGCACTATGAACTGTGCTTGAAGACGGTAAGGATCCCATGTCTTTGGGATAATAGGTTCAACAACAGATTTAGGATCTTAATTTGATCACCCTGTTGCAGGATAATATTCCTGCAATGCAGGAAATGTAAAACTTGCAGTGTATTTTAGGTTTAAAATTTCCACTTTGAAATTTCTGACTGGATTCTCCCTTATGAAAAATGTATCAACCCTTACAAAAATGTCCATTATTTATAATCCACATAATACAGTAATTCACATTTCCTGTTGCTGCAGGATTATTTTCCTGCTGTAGCAAACTGGCTCAAATTAAGATCCTACATCTGTACAACCTTAACAGTTTCCACTCTACAGAGCAACTCACTTGAGTCCGTTGCAGCAGATTTCATTCTGAGGGTCGTATGTCTCCTCTCCACAGCAGTGTTTGTCTGGATCATCGAGATGAACACGTAACCCACACACCATTTCACGGGATGGCAGATACAAGTGGCCACCTGGGGAGCACCGGTGCCCATCCTCCACCCCACGGTGCAAGGTCTGGTTACAGCACAGCACCCCTCGGTCCACTACACCATAGGGAGTTTTACCGCAGCACTGGGAGAGAGAGACACCAGTCAGCAGGGTATCAACACACACCCAACATGAATAACAGACACACATACAGACATGAATACTGACAATTTCATGCACACACACCGTAGCATGTTCATACCCTAAATTCACACAATCATAAAAGTCCACTGGATGTCTGACTATCTTTCTTACCAGGGGACCTTTGCACACATCCTCTACCGACAGAGTGCCAAGCGATAGAAAAGAGACCCAAAGAGAGCTCTCGTTATCCGTCGTCTGACACACACTCACACAGAAGAAAAACCGCTCTACTCTAACAGGTTGCCGGGTGGGGCTTACAGAACTAACTGTGCAGCCAAAACTGACAGTGTACAGCATATAGCCCAAATAAAGCAAACACCACTACAAATAGTCATTGTTACTGGCAGAATTTCTCCCTGATACACTTTTAGATCAAGCAGCAGTCTAGAACATTGGCTTTGAGCATAGGAGACCCACTGCCAATGGGGCCCTGTCAAAACTTTCTGAGGGAACTGAAATGGGTCTGTGGAAAACATATAGTTTCAGCCTTGTCTTACAATGCCGCTTTTAGTTATTTTGACCATTTAAAAATGTACAAATACACAGATACATCCCTGTAGTGTATAGCATTGTCTTTATGCTTTGACCAACAATTACTCAACAAGCAGATGGATGATTTAAATGTTTTACTTCAATTTGACTGAGATGAGAACTCATTTTAATGTAACGGAGGGGGTTCAATGAGCTAAGCTGTAGGCCTAAGCTCTGTGGGCTAATGGACTCACCAGGTTTTTTCCAAGCGCCCTATTGGACAGCTGCCCGGCACAGCAGATCTTGATGTCTGGATTGTAAACCTGAGGGCCACAGCTAGCACCATCGTGGAGACCTGGTTAGAGAGATGGGAAGGAAGGAGGACAGCGATGGTGATGGTGGTGATGATCAGATCAAGAATGGTAAATCATCTGTCGAACCTGGCAGCATGTACTGTACATACGGTAAAATCAGCATCTATACAATACAGTGCAATGACTGCTGAACAAAACTGGTCATCTGTTAGAAAATGGACTGCTCTTTCACCTACATACTGTATTTGGTGCATTATGGACATATATACTCAGTAGCATGCATGAGAGCATCAGCTGTTCCGGACGACTTTGTGATCACGCTCTCCGCAGCCGACGTGCGTAAGACCTTTGAAACAGGTCAACATTCACAAGGTCGCAGGGCCAGAACGATTACCTGGATGTGTACTCCGAGCATTCGCTGACCCACTGGCAAAAGTCTTCACTGACCCTGGACCAGCATTCAGGAACTTCAGCCGTGACGTGACATGATGGCGTATTGAACGCACAGTGGTGTGAATCACCTCTAGGTAAAAACGTAATATTCAATATCAGTAAGTTAGACTAAATATTAGTGCTTCATATACTTGTGGGTAATATCATTCAATCTGGATAATAACACAAAACAAATCATAAGGCTAGAGAAATGTATGGACAAATATTACAACAACAAGCAACACTCAAACATGACAGAGGGTAAACGAGGAGAATCAATCTCCAAGAGAAAACACGACTCCTTGACGGATACAGATTATTTATGCTTTTCACCACTGGGACTGGTAAGTGTGGAAAGCGATCTGTTGAAGTCGATAAATAACAAACTGGTCATACTAGAGTTGGTCAGTAAGGATGTAAAAGAGTTGAGTGACGATAAAGCTGCGATAATGGAGAAAGATACAAAAAAGTTGAAAGGGACAGTCACTAAGATAGAAACGGATGTTAAGGAACTTAAACGGGAGAAGAACTTTCTGAGAGAAGCCTTACTAAACATACAGACTAGATCGATGAGAGAAAATCTAGTACTTACGGGTATACAATAAAAAGGAAAGGTTACCGAAAAACAATTGTGAAGGACTTCTTTCTTACAGCACTTCAAATCCCACTCGATGCTATCGATAAAATCCAACTTGAACGTGTACACCGTTTCGGACAAAGAGGACAGAGATACAGTGGGGAAAAAAAGTATTTAGTTAGCCGCCAATTGTGCAAGTTCTCCCACTTAAAAAGATGAGAGAGGCCTGTAATTTTCATCATAGGTACACGTCAACTATGACAGACAAATGGAGAAAAAAAATACCACAAAATCACATTGTAGGATTTTTAATGAATTTATTTGCAAATTATGGTGGAAAATAAGTATTTGGTCACCTACAAACAAGCAAGATTTCTGGCTCTCACAGACCTGTAACTTCTTCTTTAAGAGGCTCCTCTGTCCTCCACTCGTTACCTGTATTAATGACACCTGTTTGAACTTGTTATCAGTATAAAAGACACATGTCCACAACCTCAAACAGTCACACTCCAAACTCCACTATGGCCAAGACCAAAGAGCTGTCAAAGGACACCAGAAACAAAATTGTAGACCTGCACCAGGCTGGGAAGACTGAATCTGCAATAGGTAAGCAGCTTGGTTTGAAGAAATCAACTGTGGGAGCAATTATTAGGAAATGGAAGACATACAAGACCACTGATAATCTCCCTCGATCTGGGGCTCCACGCAGGATCTCACCCCGTGGGGTCAAAATGATCACAAGAACGTTGAGCAAAAATCCCAGAACCACACGGGGGGACCTAGTGAATGACCTGCAGAGAGCTGGCACCAAAGTAACAAAGCCTACCATCAGTAACACACTACGCCGACAGGGACTCAAATCCTGCAGTGCAAGACGTGTCCCCCTGCATAAGCCAGTACATGTCCAGGCCCGTCTGAAGTTTCCTAGAGTGCATTTGGATGATCCAGAAGAGGATTGGGAGAATGTCATATGGTCAGATGAAACCAAAATAGAACTTTTTGGTAAAAACTCAACTCGTCGTGTTTGGAGGACAAAGAATGCTGAGTTGCATCCAAAGAACACCATACCTACTGTGAAGCATGGGGGTGGAAACATCATGCTTTTGGGCTGTTTTTCTGCAACGGGACCAGGACGACTGATCCGTGTAAAGGAAAGAATGAATGGGGCCATGTATCGTGAGATTTTGAGTGAAAACCTCCTTCCATCAGCAAGGGCATTGAAGATGAAACGTGGCTGGGTCTTTCAGCATGACAATGATCCCAAACACACCGCCCGGGCAACGAAGGAGTGGCTTCGTAAGAAGCATTTCAAGGTCCTGGAGTGGCCTAGCCAGTCTCCAGATCTCAACCCCATAGAAAATCTTTGGAGGGAGTTGAAAGTCCGTGTTGCCCAGCGACAGCCCCAAAACATCACTGCTCTAGAGGAGATCTGCATGGAGGAATGGGCCAAAACACCAGCAACAGTGTGTGAAAACCTTGTGAAGACTTACAGAAAACGTTTGATCTGTGTCATTGCCAACAAAGGGTATATAACAAAGTATTGAGAAACTTTTGTTATTGACCAAATACTTATTTTCCACCATAATTTGCAAATAAATTCATAAAAAATCCTACAATGTGATTTTCTGGATATTTTTTTCTCATTTTGTCTGTCATAGTTGACGTGTACCTATGATGAAAATTACAGGCCTCTCTCATCTTTTTAAGTGGGAGAACTTGCACAATTGGTGGCTGACTAAATACTTTTTTTCCCCACTGTATGAGCATCCAATTGTCGCCAAATTTGCTTTCTTTAAGGATAAAGTAATGGTCAAAAGCCTAGGTAAAATACTTGCTGGCACAAAAATAGGCATGAATGATCAGTTCCCAAGGCAGATTGCAGAACGGCGCAAAGTTCTGTACCCAATCTTCAAGAAAAATAGATTAAATTAGATTTTCTGCAGATGAGGGATATACATTTTAAAATAAAGTATACATCTAATCTATTCTTTTATTGTCCTATCATGATGGAACTGTCCCCAACCCTATATCCAAGACAACCACCTGAACAACCCATACACCAAAGAGAAGTCCCCATCTGTTTTATGGCCCTGCTGTAAGTTACCTATATGCAGCCAAAACAGAAAGATAAATGCGGTCAGAGACCTACTAGAGCAGCACCACCCCCTCAAGATTCTGAGCCTGCCTGGCAGGGTTGGTCCAACAAAGCCAGAGCCCCCTGATGGGAGAGCATAATATACAAGGAAATTCTCAAAGCTGCTAATGAGAACCTTGATGACCTTGTAACTAGACGGTGGGGATTCCGGTGGGGTACCACCACCCAGGTAGTGGCAGTGCTGGCAACACTGGCTGCAGTAACCCATGGGGAGGGGGTCACACTCGGACAATCAGAGAGGGGGCATATTATTGTGGCCCTGATGGCACAAAATAATCAAAGGTCTGACTGCTCGGAGATGCTTGGGAAAAAATTGTTACAATGGGGGACCAGAGTGTTTGTGTCTCAGGGGAAGAGGGTGGATCTGATCTCCATCACCTAGGACTTAACATAGGTTAATCAAATATCCAATTTTTGCTGTATATGCATTCGTAAAACAGGTCCTTTCTTGAGTTGGGCTCTGGGATGTAACAACCGTTGAGCTTATAGTTGATTGTGGGGGAAAGGGGTTTGTGTGTGTGTGTGTGTGTGTGTGTATCCCACATATGTTGCAAGGGGGTAAGGATGTTAGGGAGAATATAGGATGAACCACAATAATTGTTTGCTAAAATAAGAATTGTTTGACAAAAATGTAATGTAATACAATGGCAATCCGGGTTATAGGTAACAATACTTCGCATGAACTGCCAACATTATTACGCATATTAATTGATAATGATGGAAATTTAAAAAAGATATGCGAGATATTTGAATAGATATGTATTTTTAATAGCTATATATATATTGAGGTGAGAGCATTGGAAATTATTTTGGCGGTTGACCTGCTTCTGTTTTGTGGGTGGCACTGTGCTGTTTTCGAAGGATGGGTCCTGGCCTCTCGGGGAGGCCCTGTGATCCGTGGGGACGGGGGTGGTATGCCGATCACTGGGATGACAATCCAATTTGGGATGGGGAGGGGCTTTAGCGGGGGGAATAGTGGAGAACAATTGGAGGGTTACTTAGTAGCAATGCAATATCATGGTACAGCTATATGGACACTCAATCACTATGGTATTTTTATTGGTACATTTACAAACATATATTATGATAAATAGATTTGAAATCTGTATCTCATTTTGGTAAGTGTTGAAATAAGTATAGCCAGTTATAATTGTAATGGCTTAGCAGATAATAACAAAAGAATTAACAATATTTACATGGCTCAAAGAGAAGGAATATAATGTCTGTTGTTTACAGGAAACTCATTAAACAATTCTAGATGACGTCCACACTTCTTTGACAATATATATAATAAATTATCAACCCTGCAAGCAATACAAGACTATATTATTATGATGGGAGATTATAATACTGTTTTAAATAGCTCAATGGAACATAAAGGAAATCACACTACAAACTATCACCCTCATGCTCTTAAGGAAATCATGAATGTCATGGATACATTAGAATTAGTAGATATATGGAGGCTTAAATATCCTGACCTAGTGAGTTATACATGGCGGAGACTCAAACAAGCTAGTCGTCTTGAGTTCTTTCTTATGTCATTCTCGTTGGCATCAAAAGTTAGTGTTGATAGGGGACAGAATGCGGTCGGACCATGATATAATTGGCATATACATTACTATTACTGAATTTCCACGTGGGCGAGGATATTGGAAATGTAATCAAAGCCTATTGGATGATAAAGTCTCCTGTAGCTCATTTGGTAGAGCATGGTGCTTGCAACGCCAGGGTTGTGGGTTCGATTCCCACTGGGGGCCAGTATGAAAAATGTATGCACTCATCGCTCTGGATAATAGCGTCTGCTAAATGACTAAAATGTAAACTTGTTTTAAACTAGGACAGAGGAATTTATAACTGATTTTTTCTGACATA